TACTTTAAATCTTACAGTACTCTACCATCAGGTTCATTGGGAACCTTTCAGCTCTCTTTCCTCCAAACTATGTCATTGTGTAAAATTAGTAATTCTCAAGGTCATCTCAAAACATTATATCACTTCACCTTCGCCAACACCATAAATTTTCACCTCTGAACCTATCCATGGTATGAATTTCCCAATCGACTCTTTTGCTTCCTTATCCCTGGAATGTAAACACCTGCTAAATTAACTGCATTCTACTTTTTGACTGACTCTTAAGAACCCGAACCTATCATGTAGTGATATCAAACTTTGAGAAAAATATCAAATAGAATTTTTCCCCCAAAAAAATCTTAGCCTGTTTCCTCATTTGTAGTTAATGGTGTGCACTGTTACCTAAATTTTCTTGTCTCCAACTGCCTTAAAGTTTTAATTCAATCTAGCATCAAACATACATAGATCCCTTTGGTAGATTCCAAAAAAATCAGGAATCACAGGCTGCTAAGTTTCAGTTGGAAAACCCGGTTAAGTGTGAGATTCCTTATCAAATAAAGAACTTCTGGAAATAAACCTTCCTCAAAGGGGATGAAAATTAACTAAATAATGAGCAAACAACTATAAACAAAACAACATATTAACGGTATAGTAGAAAATGAATAGAACAGGGTCTTGGAACTGCTACTAGGCAAACTAATCTCTGACCTCTTGCCTCATCTGACAAGCCATGGGAAATGAACTGGATCATCTTGATGATCACTACCAAATTAGGATTCGAAAGTATACTTTGATTTAAAACCCCACAACATAAAATTCTACAACAGTGTAGTCAGAGACATTATATACACAATGGACACCACTGACATATGCCTCTATTGAATGAAATAATGAAATCTAGGTTGTTCATTATTGCAGGGAAGTAGAAGAGATTTAGGGACCCAATGTTTGGTTGTCTGATGTATGAGTAAACACTTTCATTCCTGATTCTCTAAGGTTAGTACTTCATGCCATAAAACAACTATAAAACTGAGTGACCAATATAGCCTTATGCCAACAACTTTTTCCTTGAACAAGAAAAACTTTAAGAGGGCCCAGAAAACACTAAGTCTCTTCCTGTATTTGAATAAGACCTTTTCTATAACATACATTAATATACAAGTATTATGGTGCTGTGAATTCTCAACTATGTACATGTGGATTACTCACTTTTTAGATTATTCTCAGCAAAATTTTAATCGAAGCTGGCTTCCTCCTGCTACCCAGAGTACTTCTCAGCAACCACCTTTTCTACCATTAGCAAGAATTTATTTTATTATTAGCCAAAGAAAAATAATCAGAAAAATAAATCTACAAAAAACATTATTAATGCATTCCAAGTAAAATGCTTGGAACTTTGAACATTTGGCATAGTAATATAACAAGGTCTGTATATTAAATGTTCTGTTTTCATGGATAAACTTTCTATCAGAGAATTTTTGGAACTTAGGGATGATCTAATGTATCTTAAAAGATTGAGACCACTTTCTCTAATCAGAAAGAATTTCACAATGTACCTATCTCAAGTTCTAATATGAATTTTAAAACCATATATTTAAGCCATTAAACAATAAGACCATTCACTATTCACTTGCAAGACTAATTTTATAATGACATACACTGTTCATTTCTATACTACAGTAAATGCTGAGTTACCACTGTAGAGGGTAGCCTTAAAATTAACATAAATCCTACTAACATAAGTTCTTTTTATTATTCTCAATCCTTTAAAATTTTGACATTGAGCAAGATATTTTATCACATTACATGTTAGAGGAAAATAAAGTGAATATATTCCTTTTACTCTATTCATCAGAATAAAAGTAATCTCTCCAAACATGCTAAGTAACTTAATCATATTTTTAAGGCAATTATCAAGCTTTTTATTCCACAGAGCACATCCCAGAATGTTTTTGCTTCCTTAGATTGTGAAGCTAAAGATGCTGATTGTCATGCAAAAAAAAGTGACTTATTACTGTTTCAGTTTTTACTCAAAGGAACACCAAATCATATTTATGGTTTTTGTCAGTTTCCAAATTCCATTCATTTTTTTCCCACAATACCAAATGCATTTGAGATTTTAGGACAAAAACCTGTGAATTCTCACTATAAAATGAAGAGTAGGGAAATCTCAATTGCAATTAGGATTTGAACCCAAATGCAATGTTCACACCACAAAATTTCCTATATATTCTATAAATGTAGGAAGTTTATTAGTTTATATTATTCTATAAATGTTTTATGTATTTAATTTGACTTAATCACATCAACAGGTTGGATTTATGGGTGTTTTTATGTTTTTAAAGTGATGAAAGTTTAATGTTTATTTTTTAATCCAACAACTTTATCCAAAAATGCAGAAAATTTTTCTGGCTGGCCAGGAGGATAACATTTCAGTGTTGATAAGTCCATTGACTGTAACAGCCCCGGAAGCGTGCTAAAACAAAAGAAGAAAAATATTAGGTAATGGGAGAAAATTCCATAATTCATCTGCTGCCCACTTGATGACTAACTTCCAAGAATACAATAATCCTTAAACTGTAAATGTGAGTCTTAATGTACTTTAATATTATAGGTATACATACTAAGATTATTATCATAATAAAAAGAGTAGTATAAAATGACAATATGAATTCAACAAATATTTTCTCTCAAGTCAACCAAATTAGTTCAGAACTGTTACATTATGAATAATGTGTTCACATAGGTTCATAATACTTCTTAGGACTGTGGTGTTATAAAATGAAACAATATATAAAAACAGAATAAATGATACCAAAAGTAATAACTGCCAGACAAAAAGGTAAGCTAGACCATGCATGAAGATTGTGATACAACATTTTTACAGGTAACTTACTATTGATAATATATAATTAAGCAATATACAATCACCATGCATGCTGGCAATAAGGATATGAGCAATATAAAACTATTACCTCTGACATGTATGTATATCATGTATTTATATCCTAAATTAGAACAAATATACCACCACCCAGCCTAGGTTTGGAGGAAGAAATTATTTACCTAAAATAAAAACACAACCAATTATTGATTCTTAATGCTTTCATGTGTGGGATTTTCCTGAAATTAACATAAAAAGACTTCTATAATTTTATAATAAGAGACTTGTATAGTTTCCTTTTCAGCATGAGTAAAACATCAGGATGTATTCATGAAATCAGTGCTTTCCCTTTTATAATAAACTAACAAAAAATCAAAGCTGATTTAACATTTTGAATAAAAATACTCATCAAAAGCATCTGGGAACACTGCCTTGAATAAAGCAGTCAGGAAGATGAAAATTTCTCTTTCGGGTTAGGGATATAGCTCAATTGGTAGAGTGCTTGCCTCACACGCAAAAGGCCCTGTGTTCCACAGCACCACAAAAACAAAGCAAAAATAATGTTAATTAATTTATGTATGATGTGTCAAAATGCATTCTACTATCATGTATAACTAATTAGAATTTTAAAAAGGGAATGCAAGGGCTGGGAAAAAAATGATGCTAATCCCTAATATCAACTACCCAAGGGAAAGTTGTGCCCATTATCTGAAGCATACATAATTTTAATTACCTTCTGACTGGCTTCTATATTACAAAGCCACTCTGACATCCTCCCTCCTCTCCATCATTAAAGGTATGATGACGCCAACAATTTTACTCCTGAAACAATCAATGAATCTTTTTCCTCCCAATGAGAGCATTAATCTTTGTTTTGTTCACTGGTTATATATATCAGCTGCCTAGAAAAATGCCTGGCATAGAATAGGTACTCAAAGAACATTTTATGTAGTAGTATTCACTGAGTGTGTAAGATACAGAAGCAGGAAAATTGAAAGGTTTTTATGTTCTAGCTAATTTCTTCTAGTATTCTTTATTTTAAATCCAACATCAATTTAACTATAATATAGTATAAAATACTTTTAATACTTCCAATAAGAATAGGTTTTAAGTCAAACAATTGGGAATTACTGACCTGGCCCTCTGACAAGCTTCTAGTGTCAAGGAAGAACTAACACAAAACAAATCAGCAACTTTCTTCATCCTTCTATTTGATGTTGATCAGTTCTTGTTGAATTCTAATATACTTCTAGAAAATAATACTTCTCACCATAAAGTAATTCCTCTGATTAAAAAGCTCCAATGGTTTCCCATTAAATTCAGAATAAAATCAGAGCTCTTATATAAACTTTCCCCTCCCCAGCATCATACTACTTACTCTCTCCCTTGCACACTATATTCATGCCACACTAACCTTCCTATTTCTCAAGCACATCAGCTTCCAAGTTCACTTCTCACTTAGGGCTTTTGCAATTGCTGTTCCTTGGTATCTATAGTTTCCCATGACTGGCTCATCCCTGTACTTAGGTCTCACCTCAAATGTCTTATACTTTGTCAAGCCTTATCTAAGGATTCTATCTAATTAGACTTCAGCCCAACTCTATAGCATCATCCTGTCTTACTTCCCCTGTAGTGTATTTCATCATGTGAAATTCTACCACTTGAATTTAAGTACCATGATAACATGGACTTTTATCTGTTTATCACTGTATCCCTACCATTTAAAACAGTGCCCACTGCATATTAGGTATAACTGAATAAATGAGTAAATACTTTTAATGTAGGGATTCCAGTGGACTCAGTAAAGTCAAAATCTTAACTGAAAAAAGCAAATGTCTTCCTGGAATACTGAAAATGTAAATAATGAACTAAAAATCAGATTCACGAAAACTTACATACCAACGAGCATATACTCATACACTCTCAAATATTTACATGCAAAGAAATGGCCACAGATACAGAATAAAATACAACACAGATCAAAGTTAAAGGGAGATACAAATGAGAAGGTTTTATAGGTAAGAAAACTAAAGTATGTTTGGTAAGTGTGAGAAGGTAAGAGGCGAAACAGACAGATGGGTTAGATAAGAACAGCTAAGGAAAATATTAGAGATCAAATAATCAGTCTCTAGTATACCTGCAGGTACAATAGAAAAGATGCCCCTCTTTGTGTAGCTTCCTTGCCAATTCCAGCTGATGATTGTTCATTAACTTTTCATTTATAACTACCACAAGTGGCTTGCCTTTTTCCAGAGTCTCCAAACAGCTTCCTGCACCTACAAAAATAAAATTTGTTAATATGATTTTGAAAAAGTTAAGGTGGTTAGAACTCTTAAGCTGAATAACTTAAATTGACAGATCATTAAACCAGATCTTTCAATTATATATTGAAAATGACAAACATATACTTAACAGTTACTGTTAATAAACCTGAATTTAAAAAATACATTTTATTACTGCTGATGATAGTAAGGCCTATGACTTAGTGCTGTTACCTGCTCTCTAGTATTACATCTTGGAATGGCCTTGAATCCAAGTTAAGATTCAAGTTCAACACATTGTATGTGAAACTATACAAAAGACTCTCTATATCTTCAAGTTCTACATCCTTAGACTAGACCAATAGAACATGTAGACTTAACCACTGCTCCATTAAATATAGCATAACAACTACTCATAAGTAATTTAGACAGGACTTAAGGTATATAGGAGGATATGCATAGGTTATATGTAAGTAATAGGTCATTTTATGTAAGGGACATGAGAGCATCTCAGATTTTAGTATCCTCAGGGGTTCTGGAACCAATCCCTGGTGGACACCAAGGGATAACTGTACTTCACTTCTATTCAACCACAAGTAGTAAAAGCAAGACTAAAATAGTGACAGGCACAATAAAGAAAAACTCTTAATACCATTTGAGTTTACCTGTGAAATGCCATCCTGAAGACAGTCAAGGCTAGACCTCTATGAATGTGTGTGTATGGAAGAATTCAACTTCAACTAATTTTCAATTGTTTTTTTAGTTATACATGACAATATTCTATAATTATAAAAGCATGGCATATAATTTGCTCCAATTTAGTCCCCAGTATTTCTCATTCCCCTTCCTTCTTCCCACTTCCCATTTCCTTCCCTCTACTGTTCTTTCTACTGTTTTTTTAATTAATATTTTGTGGTGGTACATAATTGTGAGATTCACTGTGGTATATTCATATATACACACAGGAAAGTTAGATTCATCCCACAGATTTTCCTTATCCCAACCCTCCTCCCTCCCTTTCATTCCCCTTTGTCTATTCCTCTGATCATACTTCTATTCTTTTTGTAAACACCTCCCCCCTTATCACTCAGCATGATAGTCTCCAGTTCCATTTTTAAGCTAATACTTAAAAATTTTATAACTAATACTCCATTGTATATACATATTTTCCTTATTCATTCAACTATTGAAGGGCATCTAGGTTGGTTCCATAGATTAGCTACTGTGACTTGTGCTGCTATAAACATTAACGTGGCCACATAACTGCAGAATGCTCTTATTAACTCCCTTGGATATATACCAAGGAATGGGATACTTGAGTCATATGGTGGTTCTATACCTAGTTTTTTGAGGAACCTCTACATTGCTTTCCAGAGTGGTTGTACTAATTACAGTCCCACCAATAAGGTTATGTGTGCCCCTTTCCCCCATGTCCTCGCCAACACTGTTACTTGTATTTTTTTTTTAGTTGTAGATAGATATTTTTGGTTGTAGATAGATACCTTTTTTTATGTGATGCTGAGGATCCAACCCAGTGCCCCACACATGCCTGGCAAGTGCTCTACTACTAAGCACCCCAGACCTGTCACTTGTATTCTTGATAATTGCCATTCTGATTGGAATGAGATGGAATCTCAGTGTACTTTTAATTTGCATTTCTCTTTTGTTGACCATTTGTAGTTCTTCTTCTTAAGGGTCTGTTTAGTTACTTTACTCATTTATTGATAGGGTTGGTTTTTCTGGTATTAAGGTTTTTGAGGTCTTTGTATATCCTGGATATTAATGCCCTATTTGAGGAGATGGTGACAAAAAGAACAACTCAAAAAGAACTTTGAAATCTAAAATCATCTAAGAGATGTGAGTAGATATACATAGGATATGTATATATCCTATGCCAGGGTAGAAGTTAAGAACAGACACCAAGCCAGGTGCAGTGGTACACACTTGTAATGTCAGAGACTCAAGAGGCTGAGATAGGAGGATCACAAGGTGGAGGCCAGCCTGAACAATTTAACAAACCCTAAGAAACTTGGGGACACAGTGTCTCAAAATAAAAAGAGCTATAGCCATGCCAAAAGTTCTATTGGCTATTATGCTATACATTTTTAATTACCAATGTCACTAACATCTATTTCTAATAACTTTTCTCTCTATACTTTTTAAAACCAACCTTTCTCACAGCAGTCAAAACTGTAGTACTACCCAAAAGCAATTCTCCTAAATGTACTGAAAGTCTCATCAACAAGATCATCAAGATGGTTCTTCTAAAGAAATGACTTACACAAAGAATAAGTAGTTGTTAAAGAATATTTTTTGTCATATTGTGTGCATGTACAAATATGTAACAATAAATCCCACCCATCATGTACAACTAGAATGTACTAATAAAAATAAGGGGAAAAGAATATTTTAACTGTTATGTATTTCACACTCACACTTAATAAAAATGTGCAAAAAAAAACACCTTTCAAAGCCAATTTCTCCAACACCAATCCAGCCAATGAGCAGGCTGAACAGTCCTTCAGATCTAAGCCCTAGTACTAATTTTAGGTTGATAATTCATAGCACGTCATTGAATAAATTATTTTGCTTCTTTGTGCTTAGGGTTTTTTATTGTAACGTTGTGCTACAGTAATTAATTTCCCATCCTTCTTGGACCCAGAAACACTAAATTCTGTGAGCCAAAGTTCTCAATTATTATATTCAAGTATTCAAGTAATTATCATATCCAGCTGGGCTACAGTGAATATATTCTGCGTAACAATTCATTAAGTGGTTTTACTTTTGCCAGGAAAATGTTTGCATAAGTTACTTAATTAGTGTTTATCAAAGACTGAATGCTGAGACTCTAAGACACTTTACCTGCGTGACTAATAACAAGATCTGCTTTCTGCAGGTCTTCTTTCAAGGACTCCTTGTACCTGTAAACATCCAGGGTAAATGATTCAGTACTGAACGGTTCCGGTACCACCGTTCCTCTACCAATTTGGAGGATAAGTCGGTTGTAACCAAGGCTCTTGATGATCTAAAACAGGAAATAAGAAAGCGCGGGCGTTTTAAATTGGCTACTGTTAAGAGCAGTGACAACAACAATCCCTGAGGTCGGCGTTCAGACCTGCGCACGCATTGCCAAACAGCCTGCCTGTGGCCAATTTTCCCCATCCTGAAACCAAAGGGGGAGCCCTAATCTAATTCCCAGTTCACCCACCTGATCCCGATAAAATACGAACAGGGAAAGACTTCGAAAAAGGCACTGCAAACTAGGGGGGAGGGGCAACCAAGGAACAATCCAGTTCTGCCTCACTGCTTGGGCAGTCTAGAATGGCGAGCCCGAATAAGACGGGCAACCGACACGCCGCGCGGGCAGAGTCTCGATCCTGCAGGGCGCCTGCAGGAAAAGACTCGGGCTGAGCAGGGCGAGGGCCGCACAACCGAAATTCCCGCACGGCGGGCTCAAAGGGCCGCACCACTTGCCGTGGATCCCCGGACCCACAGGCGACCGGGAAACCAGAGGCAAGCAGACACCCTCCCGCGAACTCAGCTCGGCGGGGGCCCCAGTTCTAAGAAACAGAACCGCTGGAAAGAGGGGCGAAGGCGACTCGAAAGGGGAAAGCAGGGGAAAGCTGGGGAAAGGAGACGGGGGGGGGGAGGAGGAAGAGAGGCCGGGGAAGGCTGCGGGAAAGGGGAAGGCTGCGGGAGAGGTGAAACCACAAACGGAAGACGCCAAGGTGCTGGTGAGGCGAGGGAGGCCCCAGTAGGGCACTGGGGAGGAGCCAGCAAAGGGGCGGAGGCACCTGAGGTAAAGCTGCGAAGATTTCTTTCCGAACGTTTCGGTCAGGCAAGGTTACGAAGGCTAGTAGTAAAGCTAAAGGCGGCTAGCGACAAGCGAAGCTAGGCGAAGCGAAGGGAGGCGAGGCAAGCCGCCGCCGGCCTGCCTCCCCCACTCACTTGTAAGCTGTCGTGCGCCGACACACAAGCAATGAGGTCGTCAAAGCTGGTGGTCCCTACAGTAACAAACAGACACTTCATCTCGCGGATTCGAAGTCCCGAATCGCAAAGGCCGGATGTGACGTAGCAAAGCCACGCGGCCGTAGCATTCTAAGCAAATGGCGGAAGTTCGTAACAGCCTCCCTTAGGCGGTTAGACCGGAGCTATGTCACCAGTAGGGTGGAGCCAGCGACTTAACGGTCTACGTGCCAGCCTAGGTTCTAAATTCTTGACGTATTGGATCACGAGTCCTCCACCATGATTTGGGAAATTGCCGAATATAATTTTTTTTTTCAAAAAATGGAAGTTTAGAAAAATCCGAATACTGTCCTTAAGTGTTGAGTAGGCATCCTTGTTTGGGAATCACAAATCTTTTCATGGTGTTATTTGGCAATGAAACTTTGCTCAATATGGTTACCATGAATGTGCATTTTTGCTCTTGCCTACCCTTTCCATTTAGGGAAAAGGGGGGAAAGCACTTAAGGTTTTCCAGGCAAATATTACCATATCCTTAAAAATGTATTCCTAAAAAGACATAAACCAGAGGGCTAGGCACGATAGCACACACCTGTGATCCCAGCTACTAGAGAGACTGAGGCAGAAGTTTGAGGCCTATCTCTGCAATTTTATTTTACAAATTAAAAAGACTGGGGAAACGGCTCAGTAGTAAAGTGCCCCTGGGCTCAATCCCCAGTACCGCCTAAATAAAATAAAATAAAAAGACATAAACCCAGAGTGGTGGTGCACACTTGTAATCCCAACTACTGTGGAAACTGAAGCAGGAGGATGGCAAGTTCAAGACAACCTGGGAAAATTAATAATACCCTATCTCAAAATATAAAAAGGGGGCAGGGGTTGGGAGTGGCTGGGGAGATGTACTTTAGTGGTAAAGCACTTGCTGCACAAGACCCTGGGTTCAATCCCTAGCATGCCTGCCCCCCTCCCTCAAAGAAGTCATAAATCCCTTTGGTTCCAATTTTAACGTATGTACTACTGACAAGCACTAAAATACATAATACATCTATTACAAAATTGTCCTTTGACTCAGGAGGAAAATATTAGTTTAAATTGTTTAAATCATTTGTATGACTCTTTATTACAGGGTACCCATTCATAATCCCTTCTTCCCCCATAGAAGGCTTTTGATCTCCTGTTTTGTAAGGACTGTTTAACTTTTTTTCTCTAAGAAGACAAACTGGTTATAATGTGGCCAGGCACAATGATGCTCACCTGTAATCCCAGCAACCGGGGAGGCTGAGGCAGGAGGATCACAAGTTCAAAGCCAGCCTCAACACCTTAGGCCCTAGCAACTCCTGTCTCAAAATAAAATTTTTAAAAAAGCAAGAAAAGGAGCTAAGATTGTGGCTCAGTGGTAGAGCAATTGCCTAGCAGGTGTGAAGTACTGGGTTCCATCCTCATCACCACATGAAAAAATAAACAAATAAAGTTATAAAAAATAAAATTGCTGTCCTTTAAAAAAGAAAAAAAAAGAAGAAAGAAAGAGCAAGGGATGTGACTCAGTGGTAAAAGGCCAAACCCATTTGTATGGACTAAACTTTCTTTTGTTAAGATAAAATTGGAAAAAAAATAAAAATACATTTTAAAAAAGATAAAATTGGAAGTACCTTGGATTTGGATAGGGTGGTGTTTTTCTTTATCCCTTTGTATAGACTTTGGTTCTTATTTTAGTTGCTCTCCTGTGAATTTTTTATGTACTTCTAGTCATTTGCTTAGGTATGCCTTTGGTTTAAAGCTTTGGTTTATATTTAGTGATAGCAATTATTTGTTTTACTTTTTCCAGAGTGAAAATGGAACTACAAACTCAAATGAAACACTTTATTGAAACATGTCCAAGAGAAACCACTCTAAATCCAGAATAAAGAAATCTTTTTTATTTCCATCTTAGCTAAAAATCTGCTCCCTGATATTAAAGGACAATTAAAGATAATGCAGGTTTTATATGGACAAGCCAGACCCTTGATATCACTCAGGGTATATAACACAATTCTTAAAGGAATTAAATGCAACAGTCTTTTTCTAAAAAACTGGGAAAAAAAGACTCATTATAAATATGTATCTCTAAAAACCAAAGCCACCTATTTATCTTAGAAAACCTACAGGTATTATACAAAATACGAATGTTGGAAAGGATACTGTCCTGCCCTTGTAAAAGAAAAATCTAAATAATGACTTAATAGGCAAATAATATCTCCCAAAAATTTTTTATGAAAACTTACAGTATTTTTCTGCCTTTAAGATATAAATTCTCTTCTACTTTGTTTTATTTTGTGGTGCTGAGGAAGGAACCCAGAGCTTTCCTATGCTAGGCAAGTTAAGTGATCTACCACTGAGCAGTATCCACAATCCTCACTTTGAGTCTTCCTTGAAAAATTACTTCTTTTAAAAGCAAACTTTAGGGAGAATGATTTAGAGAGAGAGAGAAAGGGAAATAAAAGAGCAAAAATGCCTAAATGTCTGTCCCAGATTAAACCGGATGAGAGACAATTTTTCTTAATAGGTGTATTCAGTTTAACTAAAAGTTGGTATCTAGGATATATATATGTATGTGTGTGTGTGTGTGTAATATATGTGTGTGTGTGTGTGTGTGTGTGTGTGTGTGTATATTTTGTGAACCCTATTTTCTTTTTGGATCAAATTGTCTTTAAAAATTATTGACTTTTTCATCTGTTTCATGACTTTTTAAAATGAAAACTATGAAATTTTTATTTCTGTATTTTTATGTACTCATGTGCACATGAGGGTGGTATATTGTGTCAACATGTATGTTTATATCTATACAAGTATTCGCATATTGTCTACATGTATCAAATCCACAGCTCTCAAATCATTCACCCAAGTATTTTTATGTTATTTTAGTAAACTTTAGTAAATAAAAATATTATTGGTTTAATTACACAATAACACGTCTATTAACATTAAATAGAAATTGTTTAAGATCTAAAAATTATGAGTTTGACTTAAAAATGAAAAAAGTATACATAAATAAGACAAGACTTAAATATATGTATATATATTTTTTAAAGAGAATTTTTTCATATTTATTTTTTAGTTTTCGATGGACACAACATCATTTATTTTATTTTTTTATGTGGTGCTGAGGATCAAACCCAGCAACTCACGCATGCCAGGCGAGCGCGTTACCACTTGAGCCACATCCCCAGCCCAACTTAAATATATTTTTAACAATAAATGCTTTGAAATATGTATAATAGGTTTCACAAAACTTTTTTTTTAATATTTATTTTTTCAGTATAGATGGACACAACACAATGCCTTTATTTTTATATGGTGCTGAGGATGGAACCCAGGCCCCGCCCGTGCTAGGCACGTGCTCTACCACTGAGCCACAATCCCAGCCCCACAAATCTTTTTGATAAATACATCTTTAGAGTTTTGTTAAGCTAAATTAAATGATGGATATTCATCAAATATGTAGATCATTTCCAAATAATTAAAACATTAATTGCTCAACGTAGGTTTTGAGTTTATCAACTTTTGACTTCTTTTTACAAAAGAACTAAATATATTTGTGTTTGTTAAAAATTTAAAAATTAGGGGCTAGGGTTGTGGCTTAGTGGTAGATCACTTGGCTAGCACACATAAGGCACTGGGTTCTATCCTTAGCACCACATAAAAATAAAATAGAGGTATTGTGTTCACTTACAACTAATGTGTGTGTGTGTGTGTGTGTGTGTGTGTGTGTGTGTATATATATATATTTAGTATTTAAAAATTTGAAAATTATATTTTTCAGAAAACTTTCTTAAAAAGTTATAAAATGGGGCTGGGGATGTGGCTCAAGCGGTAGCGCTCTCGCCTGGCATGCGTGCGGCCCGGGTTCGATCCTCAGCACCACATACAAACAAAGATGTTGTGTCCGACAAAAACTAAAAATAAATATTAAAAAATTAAAAAAAAAAAGTTATAAAATGATATTAATCTGAAGAATGCTGGCCCTCAATTTTAACAATTGTTAAAATTAGTATGTGTGATAAAATTACTGAAAAATCAAGATAAAAACCCTGTATGAAAGGTATTCAAGATAAATGATGTATTTTTTAAGAAAATTTTAGAATATGAAGATGTGAGTTTTGTTAAAGGAAAAATAACTTTGTCTAACTTAGAGGGTTTTAAAATTTTTTTTTTACTAGACCTTGGGTATTCTAGGTATGCACAATACCACTGAGCGAGATCTCTAGGCCTACTTTGGAAGTTATTTAAATTTATTTATTTTTTATTTTTTATTTTTTTAAAGAGAGAGTGAGAGAGGAGAGAGAGAGAGAGAATTTTTAATATTTATTTTTTAGTTCTTGGCGGACACAACATCTTTGTTTGTATGTGGTGCT